TCAAGCTGCACAGAAAAGCAAGGAATTCTGGGAAGTTGAGTCTGAAAGACCAAGAAATGTTGCTATGGAAACTGCAGAACCATGGGAGAAAAAATAATAAATTGCAAAATATTTAATTATTTATTTCAGCTCCAGATTATCTTTTTTTTATTATTATTGTTACTGTTGTTGTTATTATGTATTGTAGTTCAGTACCTCATCTGTGTTTCCTGTTGAAAACATTCAGTTCTTTACTTCAGTTCTTTAGTTCTTTAGTTCAGTACTTTAGTTCAGTTCTTTACTTCAATTCTTTACTTCAGTTCTTTAGTTCAGATCTTTAGTTCAGATCTTTAGTTCAGTTTTTTAGTTCTTTAGTTCAGTTCTTTACTTCAGTTCTTTAGTTCAGATCTTTAGTTCAGTTCTGTAGTTCAGTTCCTTAGTTCAGATCTTTAGTTCAGTTCTTTAGTTCAGTTCTTTACTTCAGTTCTTTACTTCAATTCTTTACTTCAGTTCTTTAGTTCAGATCTTTAGTTCAGATCTTTAGTTCAGTTCTGTAGTTCAGTTCTTTAGTTCAGATCTTTTGTTCAGTTCTTTAGTTCTTTAGTGCAGTTCTTTACTTCAGTTCTTTAGTTCAGATCTTTAGTTCTTTCGTTCAGTTCTTTAGTTCAGATCTTTTGTTCAGTTCTTTAGTTCAGTTCTGTAGATCACTTCTTTAGTTCAGATCTTTCGTTCAGATCTTTAGTTCAGTTTTTTAGTTCTTTAGTTCAGTTCTTTACTTCAGTTCTTTAGTTCAGATCTTTAGTTCAGTTCTGTAGTTCAGTTCCTTAGTTCAGATCTTTAGTTCAGTTCTTTAGTTCAGTTCTTTACTTCAGTTCTTTACTTCAATTCTTTACTTCAGTTCTTTAGTTCAGATCTTTAGTTCAGATCTTTAGTTCAGTTCTGTAGTTCAGTTCTTTAGTTCAGATCTTTTGTTCAGTTCTTTAGTTCTTTACTTCAGTTCTTTACTTCAATTCTTTACTTCAGTTCTTTAGTTCAGATCTTTAGTTCAGATCTTTAGTTCAGTTCTTTACTTCAGTTCTTTAGTTCAGATCTTTAGTTCTTTTGTTCAGTTCTTTAGTTCAGTTCTGTAGATCAGTTCTTTAGTTCTTTTGTTCAGTTCTTTAGTTCAGTTCTTCAGTTCAGATCTTTAGTTCTTTAGTTCAGTTCTTTAGTTCAGATCTTTTGTTCTTTAGTTCAGTTCTTTAGTTCAGATCTTTAGTTCAGTTCTTTAGTTCTTTAGTTCAGTTCTTTACTTCTTTAGTTCAGTTCTTTAGTTCAGATCTTTAGTTCAGTTCTTTAGTTCAGATCTTTAGTTTAGTTCTTTAGTTCAGATCTTTAGTTCAGTTCTGTAGTTCAGTTCTGTAGTTCAGTTTTTAATTCAGATCTTTAGTTCAGATCTTTAGTTCAGTTAGTTCAGCTTTAGTTCAGTTCTTTAGTTCAGTTCTTTAGTTCAGTTCTTTAGTTCAGTTCTTTAGTTCAGCTCTTTAGTTCAGATCTTTAGTTCAGTTCTGTAGTTCAGTTCTTTAGTTCAGTTGTGTAGTTCAGTTCTTTAGTTCAGTTCTTTAGTTCAGATCTTTAGTTCAGATCTTTAGTTCAGTTCTTTAGTTCAGATCTTTAGTTCAGATCTTTAGTTCAGTTCTGTAGTTCAGTTCTTTAGTTCAGTTCTGTAGTTCAGTTCTTTAGTTCAGTTCTGTAGTTCAGTTCTTTAGTTCAGTTCTTTAGTTCAGATCTTTAGTTCAGATCTTTAGTTCAGTTCTGTAGTTCAGTTCTTTAGTTCAGTTCTGTAGTTCAGTTCTTTAGTTCAGTTCTTTAGTTCAGTTCTTTAGTTCAGATCTTTAGTTCAGATCTTTAGTTCAGTTCTTTAGTTCAGATCTTTAGTTCAGATCTTTAGTTCAGTTCTGTAGTTCAGTTCTTTAGTTCAGTTCTTTAGATCATTTCTTTAGTTCAGCTCTTTAGTTCAGCTCTTTAGTTCAGCTCTTTAGTTCAGTTCTTTAGTTCAGATCTTTAGTTCAGATCTTTAGTTCAGTTCTGTAGTTCAGTTCTGTAGTTCAGTTCTTTAGTTCAGTTCTTTAGTTCTGATCTTTAGTTCAGTTCTGTAGTTCAGTTCTTTAGTTCAGTTCTGTAGTTCAGTTCTTTAGTTCAGTTCTTTAGTTCAGCTCTTTAGTTCAGCTCTTTAGTTCAGTTCTTTAGTTCAGCTCTTTAGTTCAGTTCTTTAGTTCAGTTCTTTAGTTCAGTTCTTTAGTTCAGTTCTTTAGTTCAGTTCTTTAGTTCAGTTCTTTAGTTCAGATCTTTAGTTCAGTTCTGTAGTTCAGTTCTTTAGTTCAGCTCTTTAGTTCAGCTCTTTAGTTCAGCTCTTTAGTTCAGTTCTTAGTTCAGCTCTTTAGTTCTGATCTTTAGTTCAGTTCTGTAGTTCAGTTCTTTAGTTCAGTTCTGTAGTTCAGTTCTTTAGTTCAGTTCTTTAGTTCAGCTCTTTAGTTCAGCTCTTTAGTTCAGCTCTAGTTCAGTTCTTTAGTTCTGATCTTTAGTTCAGTTCCGTAGTTCAGTTCTTTAGTTCAGTTCTGTAGTTCAGTTCTTTAGTTCAGCTCTTTAGTTCAGCTCTTTAGTTCAGCTCTTTAGTTCAGTTCTTTAGTTCAGTTCTTTAGTTCATCTTTAGTTCAGATCTTTAGTTCAGTTCTTTAGTTCAGCTCTTTAGTTCAGTTCTTTAGTTCAGTTCTTTAGTTCAGTTCTTTAGTTCAGATCTTAGTTCAGATCTTTAGTTCAGTTCTGTAGTTCAGTTCTTTAGTTCAGTTCTTTAGTTCAGCTCTTTAGTTCAGCTCTTTAGTTCAGCTTCTTTAGTTCAGTTCTTTAGTTCTGATCTTTAGTTCAGTTCCGTAGTTCAGTTCTTTAGTTCAGTTCTGTAGTTCAGTTCTTTAGTTCAGCTTTAGTTCAGCTCTTTAGTTCAGCTCTTTAGTTCAGTTCTTTAGTTCAGTTCTTTAGTTCAGATCTTTAGTTCAGATCTTTAGTTCAGTTCTGTAGTTCAGTTCTTTAGTTCAGTTCTTTAGTTCAGCTCTTTAGTTCAGCTCTTTAGTTCAGCTCTTTAGTTCAGTTCTTTAGTTCAGCTCTTTAGTTCAGTCTTTAGTTCAGTTCTTTAGTTCAGTTCTGTAGTTCAGTTCTTTAGTTCAGTTCTTTAGTTCAGATCTTTAGTTCAGATCTTTAGTTCAGTTCTGTAGTTCAGTTCTTTAGTTCAGTTCTTTAGTTCAGCTCTTTAGTACAGTTCTTAGTTCAGTTCTTTAGTTGAGTTCTTTAGTTGAGTTCTTTAGTACAGTTCTTTAGTTCAGTTCTTTAGTTCTGATGTCATCACCCTGAACACCGGCACCCCTCAGGGCTGTGTCCTGAGCCCCCTGCTGTTCACCCTGATGACCCACGACTGCCGTCCACACTTCAGATCCAACCACATCCTGAAGTACGCGGACGACACCACAGTGGTGGGCCTCATCCGGACAACAACACGAGACGGCCTATAGGGAGGAGGTGCGGCATCTGGTGGACTGGTGCAGAGGAAACAACCTGATCCTGAATGTCAACAAGACCAAGGAGATCATCGTAGACTTCAGGAAATCCAGACCCACCCACACACACCACTCCTCATCAACGACTCAGCAGTGGAGGTCGTCAGCAGCACCAAGTTCCTGGGGGTGCACATCAACGACAACCTCAGCTGGTCTCCCCACATCTCCTCACTGGTGAAGAAGGACCAGCAGCGCATGCACTTCCTGCGTGGGATGAAGAGAGCATCCCTCCCGCCCCCATCCTTCAGACCTTCTACAGAGGGACCATCGAGAGCCAACTGACCAGCTACATCTCCATCTGGTCTGGGAGCTGCAGGGCCTCTGACTGGAAGTCTCTACAGAGGGTGGTGAGGACAGGGGAGAAGATCACGGGGGCTCTGCTCCCCTGCATCAAGGACATCGCAGAGAGGCGCTGCCTATCTCGCGCTCACCAGATCCTCTCCGACCCGACCCACCCCAACCATGGACTGTTTTCCCCCCTGGCGTCTGGAAGAAGGTTCTGCAGCATCTTGTGCAGAACAACCAGACTACTGAACAGTTTCTTCCCCCGGGCCATCAGACTGCTTAACGCCACATAACACACACAAACACACTCACACACACACACACACACACACACACACAAACCAAATCCCCCCCCATGGACATGGTCAATACATGCACTTTAGTTTAGTTTTGTTCACAACACTGAACCTGTGTATTCTATGGCACTTGTATTGTATTTATTTATTGTGTAGTTTAAGGTTTTAGCTCTGCTACACTGGTAGCAAAGTAACGACATTTCGTTGTCAAGATTCACCTTGTGTTTTTTTTGTACAATGACAATAAAGGAAGTCTAAGTCTAGTTCAGTTCTTTAGTTCAGTTCTTTAGTTGAGTTCTTTAGTTCAGCTCTTTAGTTCAGATCTTTAGTTCAGTTCTGTAGTTCAGTTCTTTAGTTCAGCTCTTTAGTTCAGATCTTTAGTTCAGTTCTGTAGTTCAGTTCTTTAGTTCAGTTCTGTAGTTCAGTTCTTTAGTTCAGTTCTTTAGTTCAGTTCTTTAGTTCAGATCTTTAGTTCAGATCTTTAGTTCAGTTCTGTAGTTCAGTTCTTTAGTTCAGTTCTTTAGTTCAGTTCTTTAGTTGAGTTCTTTAGTTGAGTTCTTTAGTTCAGTTCTTTAGTTCAGTTCTTTAGTTCAGTTCTTTAGTTCAGTTCTTTAGTTGAGTTCTTTAGTTGAGTTCTTTAGTTCAGTTCTTTAGTTCAGTTCTTTAGTTCAGTTCTTTAGTTCAGTTCTTTAGTTCAGTTCTTTAGTTCAGTCTCGTTCCTCTCTGGTTTCTGTCGGTTCGCCATTATACGTTGAACCTTTGATGTTAGCATCATTAAACAATCTGTGTTCAGCAGAACCTCTGTCCCGGATCCGGTCCCGGTTCTGATGGACTCTCCTTTCTGTCCTCACAGATATCCAGGAATTTTACGAAGTGACCTTATTGGACAACCAGAGGTGGGCGGAGTCTTCCCGGGGGGCGGAGCCTGGCGTGCCCCTCCACCTGTGGGACCTGTCCAGCCTGCAGAGCCCGACCGGAACCTCCGAGACGCTGCCCAGCCTTAGCACCAGCATCGAGGTAGGAACCGGGCCAGAACTGGCGCCGCCGCTCGTCGTCTGCTGCCAGCCGAACGGACCCGTCCTGCCGCCGTAAAAATAGCAGCAGTAAAAATAGATCAGAGGAGTTTAAATAGAACTGGACCGGCGCCGACCGGCCGCTCCACGGGGAGCTGGGTCCACGTTTGATGCTTCTGGTTCTGTTTAAAGTGACAGGAGCAGAACCGGGTCCAGCCTGGTTCCCCTCCATCTGCTGGCTCTGAAGCTCAGAACCGGGTCACTTCCTGCTGTTTTGAGCAGATCGGACCTGCTGTGGTTCTGGTTCTGGTGAGCAGGATGAGTGGCAGCAGCTCCTGTCTGTAAACAAGCGGTCCAACTGGAACCCGACCATCAGAACCAGCGACCCGTCACCATGACAGCAGTGGACGGCCGGGTTCTTCCCGTCACATAATCCCATGTTTACATGATTTTCTGGGATTATGGGTAATCTGGCAGAGGTCGCAATGCCACCGGGTCTCTGTGGTTCTGTTGGGTCGGACGTTAGAGGAACGCTGCAGAACCGAAAGCTGCTGTCTGTCAGGAAGAGGAGGCTCAGATTGATGCCTCGGAACCGGCCAGGTCCGGTTCTCAGGGAAACTGTTCTGGTCCTGCGTGTACAGGAGTATTGGGAATACTGGGAATACTGGGATTACTGGGATTACTGGGAATACTGGGATTACTGGGAGTTATTTAAAGACGGGAGATTTTTGACTGAAGGTTTTTCTTCTCTTTGAGAAGTTGAGCCATCACAGCTGGAGGTTCTGATCCATCTGGCCGATGCGCCGATCCGGGTCTCAGTGTTTACGTGGTCTGAAAATTGTTCATTTGAACACATTCCCATTTCTGAATTATTTATGAAAGTGAACAGATTCCTAACTCTGAACTGATTCTTTTTTGATGAGTCATAAATATGAACAGATTCTATATTTTGAACAGATTCCTGACTGAACGTTTTGTCCCACAAAGGGGAAATGCAGGATCAATCTAAGTCCTCCTTATGGTACCACAGTGGAACCGCCGGGTCGGTGGGAACCTGAGGAACCAGAACCTGTGGACCCGTTTCAGTTTGACCCGGCAGTAAAACGCTTCAGTAACACCTCAGGGTTGAAAGTAGGAGGAGATGCAAGTCTGGACCTAATGGTGGTTCTGCTGCTGATTCTGCCTCCTCCAACCCAGTTCTGGATGGTTCTGGAGGCTAACTGACTCCGAACAGAACCGGTCTGGGTTTGTTGAATGAACATGGAGATGATGGTTGAGTTGAAGGACAAAGGTAAAGCTGATCTGATGTCCATCTCCTCAGGTCCAGACCAGAGGTTCTGGCTGGAGGTTCTGGCTGGAGGTTCTGGCTGGAGGTTCTGACCCACTCTGCTTCTTGTTGTCATTGAATGCTCTCTCTCTCTCTGTCTCCTGCTTCCTCTGACTGTAAACGACCTCTGACCTCCGTAGGAGTCCCCCCTCCTTAACGAAATCCTGCACACCTTGGCGCAGGCCAAGCTGTCCCCCCGCCATGACGGCCAGGTAAGAACCGGACTCTGCTGTTGGTGGGAGGGGCTGTTGGTGTCGTCCACCTCGCCGCATGTCCCATCCAGTCCTCATGTGCTTCGGACCATCAGACGGGTTGCAGGGTTCTGGGCTCTCAGTGCGTCGCTGTGGTTTGATGGCAGCATCGTCTGGACCGGCGTGAAACCGGATCAGAACCTCCTCTGGTTTCACAGAAAGTTCTGGATGTTGTGGCGTCAAACCGTCAGCGACTCGTTGATGCGGTCCGTGAGGCGTTCAGGGTTCATTGTGCTTCATTCATTCTGGTTGGTGCTGTTGGGTCGGAACGGTTCAGCTCCGGTCCGCAGGGCGGTCCCGGTTCTGCAGAGGATCAAGGACGGGTTTACTGAAGCAGTTCCTCCATAACGTCGGGTTATCGTCCTCCTCTACGCTCAGCGTCTCTCACACGACGTCCGTTCAGTTCAAAGACGGCAGTCCAACTTCCTGCCTCCCTCTGCAAGGGGTCAACATGAGGTCAGGAAGAGGGTCAAGTCACAAGGAGTGAGAATGAAAGCCATGAAGATGGAGGCTGTGAAGACCTGAGTCACTACAAGGACAAAGGTCACGAGGATGAAGACCAGGAGGACAAAGGTCACGAGGATGAAGACCAGGAGGACAAAGGTCACGAGGATGAAGACCTGGAGGACAAAGGTCACGAGGATGAAGACCTGGAGGACAAAGGTCACGAGGATGAAGACCTGGAGGACAAAGGTCACGAGGATGAAGACCAGGAGGACAAAGGTCACGAGGATGAAGACCTGGAGGACAAAGGTCACGAGGATGAAGACCTGGAGGACAAAGGTCACGAGGATGAAGACCTGGAGGACAAAGGTCACGAGGATGAAGACCTGGAGGACAAAGGTCACGAGGATGAAGACCTGGAGGACAAAGGTCACGAGGATGAAGACCTGGAGGACAAAGGTCACGAGGATGAAGACCAGGAGGACAAAGGTCACGAGGATGAAGACCAGGAGGACAAAGGTCACGAGGATGAAGACCTGGAGGACAAAGGTCACGAGGATGAAGACCTGGAGGACAAAGGTCACGAGGATGAAGACCTGAGGACAAAGGTCACGAGGATGAAGACCTGGAGGACAAAGGTCACGAGGATGAAGACCTGGAGGACAAAGGTCACGAGGATGAAGACCAGGAGGACAAAGGTCACGAGGATGAAGACCTGGAGGACAAAGGTCACGAGGATGAAGACCTGGAGGACAAAGGTCACGAGGATGAAGACCTGGAGGACAAAGGTCACGAGGATGAAGACCTGGAGGACAAAGGTCACGAGGATGAAGACCTGGAGGACAAAGGTCACGAGGATGAAGACCTGGAGGACAAAGGTCACGAGGATGAAGACCTGGAGGACAAAGGTCATCGGCTGCTTGGAAACTGCTTTAGATGGAGTTCTGAGTCGACGGAGGAGGACGGCCGCTGCCGACAGCAGAACCGTCCTGGTGCCGCCTTGAAGGAGGCTGGAGATCTGGAAAGATGTTCCCAACTGAATGCGGATCAGAACCAAAGCAGAGTCTTTCAACTGTTGCAACAAAGGGGAGGGTCATGCTGTGGGCCAGCATGGCTACCATGTAGCTTCAGACGGACATCTGCACGACCGAGGTGACGACCCAAACACACGAGATCCTCACAGCTGATTGGCCAAAGTCCTTAAAGGCCGGTGCCTCAAAGCAAACGGTGGTCAGCAAAACCTCATGGAGGAAACTTCTGCAGAAACCCGACTGTTTCAAATCGGATCAGGATGATCCTCCTTCAGCCTGACCCCGACTTCCAGGAGCCGTCCTCTGGTCAGACTGGAGCTGGACTGGTGGATGTCCTCTGGTCAGACTGGAGCTGGACTGGTGGCCGTCCTCTGGTCAGACTGGAGCTGGACTGGTGGCCGTCCTCTGGTCAGACTGGAGCTGGACTGGTGGCCGTCCTCTGGTCAGACTGGAGCTGGACTGGTGGCTGTCCTCTGGTCAGACTGGAGCTGGACTGGTGGCCGTCCTCTGGTCAGACTGGAGCTGGACTGGTGGCTGTCCTCTGGTCAGACTGGAGCTGGACTGGTGGCCGTCCTCTGGTCAGACTGGAGCTGGACTGGGGTCAGGGTGGAGGTCTGCTTTGTGTGGTTTCATATCTGGCGGCAGAAACAGCCATTTTCTCACCTGCTTCATGTTTTTGGGTCTGAGCGGTTCTGGTGGGCCCGTGTTGGAGGTTCTGAACTGTAACCTGTTTCTGGGGTGAAGCTGCTTTTATTTTTTTCCAAATCTAGAAATGATCTTTTTGGTTCTGGAGGGAAACGTGTCGTCAGCCCAGCAGGACGTTTGTCTGGATTCTGATGGGTTCTGTTTTGATCGTCATGATTTTCAAATGAAGTCTGTTTCCTGAGATTGTTTCTGTTTCAATATGAACTTAAAGAACAAATTATAATAAATCATAAAACTATCAGGCTTCAGCAGCAGGACTGGCCAGGTGAAGGGGCGGGCTTAGTGTCTGCAGTGCTGATGTGATGCTGTGGGAAATTAAATGGCTCAATTAGTCAATTCTGACTTTATAGCATCAATCATATCAAAACATTGATTGTTTTTGATAACTGCCGCCTGCAGCGGTCACCTGACCCTCAGTAGAGCTGCTGCTCCTGAACTACATTTCCAATGTTCTCTAAGGAAACATTTGTGAATAAGCAAATTTGTCATGAATAATTCTGAGTCCCGTTCCAGAGAACGATCAGATTGTTAATGTTGTGGTTGCTGTTGGATGTGAGCCGACGCTGCCCGGCTGCTGCTCTCCAGCAGAGATCAGGAGTTTCACTGCAGCAGCTCGGCTGAAGCCCGGAGAATCAAACATGAGCTGATCTCTGCAGACCGACGACGTGTGAGCAGCAACACAACCGAGACGCCGCGTTGCTCTGAACAATCACAACTCACACATGGAAAGGAAAGGTCAATAAAAACTCACAAACTAAAACAAAATGTTTTTCCAAAGCAAAAATCTGGTCAGTTTATTTACACCGCAAAAAACACGCTTCTGAAAACAAGTTAAAAAATACAGAAGTGTGTTAAATAAAATAAATGTACAGATGGACGCAGAGCTTAAAACAAACTCCTGGTTCTGCTGAAGGTATTTGCAAGCAGTGATGAGCGGCTCATCATCAGATTGCTTCTCCCAGCCACCAGGTTTCTGTCATCCAGCAGCAACCTAAACATTTCTAAATCCACTGTTTTCAGTTTGTGTGGCTAAAACGACGTCGGCTCATCTGTGCTGGACTAAAGTTCTGCTGTTAAAACCCAGCAGAGCAGTTTTCTGTTCTCTGCAGGCGAACGCCCCCTAGTGGAGGATGGAGTCACTACCAATCGATTGCAGAACAGACTTACTAGCTGATTGCTGATTTACTGATCACAATTTAGTGACACAAACAATAATCCTTTAAAAATAACTACATTTTAGTACCGTATTTATTTTTGGCTCATAGTAACTGATATGGTTTCATATTCTTTAAAAAAACATTTTTTTTGTCAACTCTTGCATGAAATGAACTTGTGACAGTTGAATGTAATAATCTTCCAACTGGGCCTGTAGTAATAAGCAATAAATCAATTAATTGCATGATAAATTAAAATGAACTCAATAATTTCCATTTGCATAATTGATCACTTTCCTCTTTCTGGATGATAAAACTCTTCAGTTTGGAGCTCAGGACTCAACCAACATTTTCTTTAAGTATAATGTTGTTTATAAAGTCAGAATAATTCATTTGATTTGTTTCTGTCTTGTTGATTTATTTTAAAATGTCTTCCAGTGTTAAATGTTCATGAGAATATAAAGTTTATTGATCTTTGAGAAAATGTTCTTATATCTTTATTACGTCATATTTCTGGGCAATGGACCCAAAACATCATCATCATCGTCGTCATCATCATCATTATCATCATCGTCATCATCATCATCATTGTCATCATCATCATCATCATCTGCAGCAATAATTTATGGATCTATTATAACAATAGTTCTGAATCAGGCCGACTGCAAAGATATTGCATCAATGAAGAAATAGAGCAAATCCGTCCATGTGGAACCGGAACCGATCAGATCCGGGTTGGGTTCTCAGAACCAAAGAGGAACGTCTTTCAATTCTGTCATGGCTGCCAATAATTCATCTATTGATCTGATTTAGAATCAAAGAAAATGATCTATTAGAGCCAAACTGCCGATACATTTCTACAATAAACAGGAGAAACAAAGGACAGGGACATCTGAGACTGCTGACATCACTTCCTGTGGACTGTTGCATAACCAGCCATGTAACACGCCATATGATGATGATGATGATGATGCGCGCACACGGCGGCGCAGCCGCATGACTGATTCATGAAAGTGTGAATGATTGTGTGGCGCTGCTGGAGCTCCTGCTCCTCTACACCTGCTCCTCCTCCTGGTCCTGCTCCTCCTGCTCCTCCTCTTCCTCCTCCTGGTCCTGCTCCTCCTGCTGCTCCTCTTCCTCCTCCTGGTCCTGCTCCTCTACACCTGCTCCTCCTCCTGGTCCTGCTCCTCCTGCTCCTCCTCTTCCTCCTCCTGGTCCTGCTCCTCCTGCTCCTCTTCCTCCTCCTGGTCCTGCTCCTCCTCTTCCTCCTCCTGGTCCTGCTCCTCCTGCTGCTCCTCTTCCTCCTCCTGGTCCTGCTCCTCCTCTTCCTCCTCCTGGTCCTGCTCCTCCTGCTCCTCCTCTTCCTCCTCCTGGTCCTGCTCCTCCTGCTCCTCTTCCTCCTCCTGGTCCTGCTCCTCCTGCTCCTCCTCTTCCTCCTCCTGGTCCTGCTCCTCCTGCTCCTCTTCCTCCTCCTGAGCCGTTTGGCGTTTAGTCATCATGTTGGTTCCAAGCAGTTTATCGATGAAGAACAAAGGCTGGAGCGTCGCAGCATCAGAGCTGCTCTGTCTCACCTCCACCCTGAGGCGGCGCCGGGTCAGAACCGACCCAGGGAGGTTCTGACCCTCCC